GAAAACGGCTTCGTCCGCAACGAGAAGGACTTGAAAACGCTTATTAATAAGTATTTCGATATCCTTTACGTTGTTGAGCGCGCCGACGACGTCGCCGTGCTGCAGCTTGAAGTCGATATGCTTCAGGTACGCTTCGATGGCAGTGAAGACCTCGGCCTGGTCGCGTACGCCCTTGCGCATGAAGGTAGTAGCTGCGGGTGTGGGGCCAAGGGGGGGAAGAGGGGGGGTGGGTGCGAGGATGCGACGACGAGCAATGTTGGCGGGGCCCTCACCGTTGTCATTTTCGGAGTCGTCGCTGTCATCGGGGTTGTCGGGGGGTGCGGGAGTTGGTGCCGGGGGCTTGTCGTCGGCGCGGGGAGCCTTGGGCGCGCGAGGATGGGTGGCCATTTCTTTCTTTTTGTTAAAATTGATCGTAGGCGCAGCATTATCGGATGAGGTTCCGACAGTAACAGCAGGAGCTTGCTGCTGTAACAGCACCAAAAGTGCTTGCAGCTGGTGCGCAGTCAGGCGGGGGCGGCGGCGGTTGGCGCGGAGTCAGCGGCAGGCGCGTGCTGGGTGGTGGGGCCCGCCTGGCCTGCAGGCGACACGACTCGGGCTGGCGTGTGGTCTCCCATTGACTGCACGCGCGGCTGCTTTGCAGCTGCGCGAGTTTCTTCTGAAGCAGCGTGACTGCCGCCGAGCAGAATCTCGACTGCCGAGGGGCCCTCGCCGAAATTGTTCTCGGCAGGACGTTTCTGACGACGGTCGGTTCCCCCGGGCGAACTTCCGATAGCCTGGGCGTTAGTGGGGGTAGAATTGTTGTTCGCCGCGCGAGCCGGGGCAGAATTGGCGGAAGTCATAGTGGCGATATTGTGCTGCAGAATGTCGGTTCGGAGTGTTGGGCTGATAGAAAGCCCTTAGGATCTTCCAGAGACTAAGTCCCAGTTGTACGAGATACTTGAGTAGTGCAGCGGAAGTTGAGTAGTTGAACCCTTGCACTAGTACGTGAGAGCAAGTGATTAATTAAAAGAAACAAGTATACAGCAATATATAGAAAAGTAGGAAAGTGATGCAGTTGTAGAATACAGTTGATTATCGAGTCGCACAGCGACTCGATAGTCAATTCGGTTACCACCCTTGCAGTTGTAACGGTTAGTCGCAACCTCCGGTTGCGACCCTTCGAGTCTTTCGTCCTTTCGTGTTCCTTTGTTCAACCTCCTCGTGTAACCTCCGTTGACTCGCATACTCGATACGGCTTCACTCGAGTGTAGTGTTATACTTCAGAAACGCTGAATTCCTTGAGATATTTCCAACACTCCCCTTCGTTTCTAGAGTGCTGACGTGTCCAGATTCGGTGACGTTTATCTGCCCGGTCAACAGCATACAGTAATCGAACTTTGCCTTCGCCAGTTTCTTCGTCAGGTAGTCTGCGGCCATTTCTGTTGTGGGGCAGTAACTGAGTTGAAGTCTCCCCTTCGCGATCTCATCCTTGACGAAGAAATACCGCAGGGCGATGTGCTTGGTTCGATTAGCGAATCCGTTCTTGTTCGCGATTTTAATTGCAGATTGGTTGACGCAAAGTAGCGAGAAGGCTGGCATGATCGTTGTTTTTGCTTCCTCGAGCAGCTCCCGTAGGTAAAGGACTTCTTTGGTCGCGGTGCAGAGGGCGATATATTCTGCTTCGGCCGAAGATAGTGCAATTAGTTCCTGCTTGCTCGATTGCCAGGAGATAGTCCCGATAGGCTCTAGACGGTAGATGTAGCCCGTTCTGGAGCATCGATTTTCCCTATCTCCCGCATGGTCGGCGTCGACATAGCCGAGTAGTCGTACGAACGATGGTGTTACTTTGCTGTAGGTAAGTCCGGCCATCGACGTAGAGACGAAGTAGAGTAGTGCTCGATTTAGCTCTTCGAGATCCTCTTGCTTCGGCAGCTTCAGGTGTGTCGCTAGTTGGCTCGCGCTGTAGGACAGGTCCGGTCGGCAGGATACTGCTGCGAACAGTAGACAGTCGAGTTTCTGTTGATATTCCTGGATTTGCTTCGCGGGGAGTTTTGCGGAGGTTCCGCCGTTGTCGTTCCCGTAGCGATACGGAGTCGTGACTACGATAGGCGTTAGTCCGAATTTCTTCGCGACAACGCCTACGTACTTTCCGGCGTGTAGGTAGAATGCCGAGTTGTTTTCAACGACGTTCAGGCCCAGGTACTGGGTCACGGTGTTAGACACCGTGAGTGTCAAGTCACTCCTCAGCTCCCCTTTGAACCAGGTTGTGATCTCGGTAGTGGAGCCGATGTAGAGCAGGTCGTCGACATAGACGATTAGTAGGATAAAGTCCCCCTCCTTCTGTAGTCGGTACATGCCTTGGTCGTGCGGCAGCTGTAGGAACCCGATTCTGACGAGGCAGCCGTGAAGATGCTGCTGCCAAAGCCGCAGGGCTTGTTTGATCCCGTAGAGGGATTTTATCAGCTGGCATACTTTTGTGGGATCGTCGATGAATCCGTGGGGCTACTCGACGAAGATTCCGGCGTCCACCGGTGCGTACAGAAAGGCGTTTGCGACGTCGATCTGGCGCAGTGGTAGCTTCTTCGTGGCCACGATGGCGAGTAGAATGCGTAAAGAGGTGTGACGGGAGACTGGGGCGAATGTCTCTGTGTAGTCGGTTCCGTATCGCTGATCAAATCCTCGTACGACCCAGCGAGCCTTGAATCGTTCGATGGAGCCGTCCGCATTAGTCTTGATGCGGTACACCCACTTTCCCGAGAGCACGTTTTTTCCGTTGGTTTTTGTTGCAGGTACCAGCTTCCACGTGTTTCGACCTTGTAGGGCCTTCAGTTCTTTTTCCATTGCTTCCTTCCATTTCGCCTTGTATTCCCCCCCCAGAGCCTGCGACAGGGTCATTGGCTCGCGCGGAGACGGCGGCGGCGGGGTCTGGACGGCGACCCATAGTCCAAGGATCTGCAGGCCCGTGGGTGTGTGTCGAGGGGAATTTTCATTCCCGGGATAGGCTGCTTCATCACCATCTTCTGAGTCAGGTAAGAAATGTGGTCCGATGCGTTCTGAGACATTCGTGTCGACTGGTTGAGGTGTACCGTAACCTTGGTCAGCCAAGTGGTAATAGGTGTCGAGGTTGTTACTATCGAGAGGATTGTCGTCGTTGAGGGGAACTGGTATGGAGCAGTAAGGGAGTGGTCCGGCAGTTTCCGAGGCTTCAAGTACGTCTTCTTCTGCTGCGTCAGCTTCGGCAGCACGATTGGCGAAGGAGCGAAGGCCCGCGAAGCCGTCGGTGGGATCGTCTGTGTTGGCAACGTTGTCCAGGTAATGCTGCAGCGTCAGTCGCTCGTAGAAAATCACATCACGTGATGCCACTGTATTTTTGTCTTGTATGTCGAGGAGTTTCCATGCTTGGAAATGTTTTGCGATGCCGAGGTGTAGTCCCCACCGTGCTCGTAGAGTGAAGCATCCTGCTCGAGCTGTGTGGGGTCTGTACTGTACCATGCAGCCGAAGTAATTTTGTGCTGCCCCTTTTTCGTGTCCACAGCAGGTGCGGTGATGCGTTGTTGGGAAGTGATGACGAGGACAGCAAATTGTGCAGGTGGACTGCATGCGTCATCGCGTCTATCCACAATGTGTTGGGCAGTCTCATCCCTAGGAGCAGTTTTCGCATCGTCGTCTGCAAGGTCCGGTTCATCCTCTCTGCGACCCCCTGTTGTTGGTGAGCGTAGGGTAGGGACACCAAGCGTCTGATGCCTCTTTCTCCCAAGTAGCTCTTGAATCGTCGTGACTGGTATTCCAGTGCCCTGTCTGACTGGAAGCTCTTGAGTTTCGAGCCCGATTCTCGTTCAGCGATGGGCAGCCATGCCGTGAAGGCTTCGAACGCTTGATCTCGTGTCTTGAGGTTGTAGTGCCAGACGTATCGTGTTGCTGCGTCGATGAACGTTATAACGTAGTTGTATTCTGCTTCACTGTCATCTCTAGACATATTTAAGATGTCGCTGTAGACCTTTTTTTATCGGTTCGTATGCATGTGCGCTTGGATTGTGTTGCGACGTAAAAGGTTGGTGGGGAAGATCTGCTTCGGGGCACGTGAAGCATCGTGCGCGTGGTTGTTGAAGTTCTTGGCCGCTTGTTGTAAGAAGGGCGTTTCTTTCTAATACTTCAGCTTGGATGGTTTGTAGGAGTGTGTTGTTCGCATGATGCCCGAGGCGTTGATGCCAGATGTCGTCGGGAGCGCGATGGCCGGGTGAGCGTTGATACATGTCGACGTTGGAGAAGAACGCGACGACCATGGTGGGACTTCGGCAGACTTCTCGGATGATAGGCATAAGTTGATCTGCTTCGGTTGATCTGATGGGCATAAGTTGAAGCAGCATGCGACCCTTCGAGTCTTTCGTCCATTCGTGTTCCTTCGTTCAACCTCCTTGTGTAACCTCCGTTGACTCGCATACCGGTACTCGATACGGCTTCACTCGAGTGTAGTGTTATACTTCAGAAATGCTTAAGTCCTTGCGATATTTCCAACAAGGTGCGTTGTCGGGGCTTTGAAGTGCGGAAGAGACTGGTTTTCGCCAGCTTGGGTGAGAACAAGGAGACTAGAACTAGGACGAGAACTGGAAAACGAAACTGGAACTAGAAATGAAGAACGAAGGTGAGGTCGAATGGCCTCACGTCCCTCTTTTGTAGGCAAAAGAGGGTGAGTAACGCTTCGACGCTGTCCTTTCTGCGTTGGCCCTCGCTACACTTTCACAATACACATTTTTTAGAAAGTGTTACACGCTTTCAAAAAATTACATTTAGAACAGTGACATACAAGGGAATATAACCTAATGGGTTGTACTCCTTAAGGCACAATCCTGTATAGTCTATAACAACATACAAGATATGTTTGACACAAGGTTCTTCAGGATATAGAGCTCAAGGGCATCGCAAGCAGAGTGATTCGGTGTACTGTTCAATGTTTCCACTCCACACCACACCACATGCATGTTAAGGGTGCTCAGGTGTAGAAGTTGTGAATTCTCATCAGCTTAAATCGTTGGTTTTTGTTGAAGTCTACAAATCAGAAAGCTCGAAATATCAACCACAGGTGATCTGAAGAGTACCTATTCGCGATCTATCCTCAATCCATACATTTTATTGGCTGCAAGTACCCGTACCCCCCCTCTGTTCAACAACTGCCTGCACCCTCCAACTTCCAAGCGGTGGAGCATCCTCAGCTCAGTCAGATCCTCTGGCAGAGCAGGCAGCTTCTTGCACCTACTCAGATTCAGCGTCTTCAGCCTTGTCGGCTGTGCAAAGTTAGGAGGAAATGAGCAAATGGATGTGTTCTGGACCACCAGCTCGTGGAGACAGGAGAGTTGGGTGAGAGAGGAGGGAAGCTGATCCAGGGCCAGGCAGTTGGACAGATCCAGCCTTCGCAGCCTGGACAATGCACCAATGCCTTCAGGAATCGAAGCTAGCTTGCGAGCCCACACTTCCAAGGAGGTCAGCTGCTGCAGCTGGGTGACTGATGCTGGCAGCTCGGTCAGCGAATCAGCTTCGTGAATCACCAGCTGCCGCAGCTGAGGCATTGCAGAACGGATGTCACTGGGAAGCTCTCTGAGGCTTATAGCACTCAGAATCTCAAGGGTACGCAGCTGAGGAAGGGAGATCCAGGGGAATGGAAGTTCCTCAACAGATTCTTCCAGAACCAGCTCCAAGTGTTGCAGGTTAGTCAGGCTCCTGCTGAACGTCATCCCAGACTCTAAGTCCACAAAAATGAAGCACAGCTTCTGGAGGCTTGCCGGCATGGAGATGTCTGGCAAAGTAGTGTAGTCCTCGGAGCTTCCCAGGCGAAGGACCTCAAGAGAAGGCGGTAAATCCTGAGGTGGCTCACATGGCCCCTCAAACCCTGGCAGCTCCAGACGCCTCAGCTTTCCAAACTTGTCCAAACCGCCTGGTAATATGAGCTCATAAACCTCTTGAAATGTCAGCACTTCCAGATTGGTAAGCATTGTAGTGGACTCTGGAAGCTCGTTGAAAGAGCAGGAATGGACGTGCAGCTGCCGAAGGTTACTCAGGTTCCCAATATCCGCTGGAAGCTCGTCCAATGTCAGTCCAGACAGCTCAAGTCGGGTCAAGGACGACAGCTGTGTGAAGGAGGCCGGGAGAAACGGATGCATCTCATCGTTATTGTTCAGAAGCAATGTCTAAAGATTGCAGAGCTCGCCAATACCCTCGGGAAGCACCATGCCCGGCATCTTCATCAGGCAGAGCGTTTTAAGAGCGGTGAGGGAGCAGAAGCCTCCTGGCAGCTGGCGGATCTCCCGGGAGCCAATCAGGAAGAACGTCTCGAGGCAGGTGAGGTCGGAGAGGGAGTTGGGGAGATGGGAAAGACGAGGCAGCTCGTCCAGGACCAGCGTTTCCAGTGCAGGCAGGTTCCCGAAGTCTTCAGGCAGGCGGGAAAACGAATCGCTGACCGAGATCACCAAGCTTTCCAACCGAGTCAGGGAGATGAAATTTCCGGGCAGCTGGGAGAAAAATCTGCAGTAGCGAATGCTCAGTTTCCGGAGATTCGGCAGCAGGTCGCTGATGTCGTCTGGAAGCCGCTCTAGCTGACTGGAGTTGTAGATTAACAGCCGCTCGAGGCTCGCGCACGGCGTTCCTGAAGGAAACATGACCCTGAACTCCAGTGACTTGAGGCGAGGAATTTGCGCGATGGCGATTGCAGCGGAGCGCTGGTTGTTTTGAATCAAGCTTGTCTCGTTGGAGACGGAAAGGCTGGTAAGGCTCGGAAGGCGAACGAGGCATGAAAGCTGCTGGTGGCTGATTAATCGGATGCAACTCCTTCCTCGCGTCGTACTTAATATCTTGTGTGATCTTGTGACCCACGTGGAAAGAGGTCAGCTTCGGGCATGCCGAGGCGAGGTGAGCGAGGAAAGCGTCGGTGAGAGTCTCTACGCTGTTGTCGCACAGCAGTAAGTACGTCAGGTTCGGAAAGCACGTGACAGCAGCTGAGGGTTCACGGAGAGAAACGACGAGGTTTTCCTTGACTACAAGCGTGGTGACGTAACGCTGCACGAGACTTTGCCATCGCCGGCAAACGGCTGCGATGCGGAGATTCAGAGGGACATCCGTGAGGGGAGGAGGAGTCGGCAATGGATTCTTGTGTGATGGAGGAATGGTCCTTCCGGTAGAAAGGTTCGCGGTGATGTATTTCGGCCTCTGACCCAGTGATTCCCATAAAGCGTCGCTGTCTGATCTGCATGTCGTGGGAGCCGCGGGTTGATTGCCATGCCATAGTGTCTTGGGGGCCGTGGGTTGGTTGTAATGCCACAGGTTCCTGAAGAGAATGTCGTCAGATAGAGAGTTAATGTTCGTGCGAGTAGTCACCTTCCAGTAGAAAGCTACGATCTCGAAATGGCTGATGAAATCAACTAGCTATTATCTCGCTAAACTTGACCCTGGTTCGGATCTGAATCCTCGCTTTTAGTCATATGGGGAAAACAATGCCTGAGCTTGCTAAGTGCTGCTCTACGTCTACGGCCTCGTTCAGCAGGCACATAGAAAAAGAAAAGAAATGGAAACGAGCGCCCCGAACCTCACCAGGTGGTAAGGAGCTGGGCCTCAAATATAAGCTCGGCTCCCAAAGGGTAGTCAGTGTGTGTGATGGGGTTCCTGACGTGTTCCTAAATGGTGTCACCCTAACCTGCGGTCATATGAGAAAATTGGAAAAGTACGCTTTATTTAAATTTCTTTGCATGCGAATGGTTTCCAGCTTTATCGGATGACACCACGACGAGATGACACCGTTCAGAAACAGGCCAGTATTGGTTTGGAAACCTTTTTTCCCGAACGTCTTTCCGAACCGAAATCTGGTTAGCCTCGGGGCGTTCGTGTCCATTTCCATCCCTTTTCCATGTGCCTGCAGAACACAGCCTATGACTCGCACACAGTTCGTGACAGTATATGGATAATTCCGACAATGGGGGCTGGACAGAGATCTCAGTGGGTTGAGATCGTTCCATAGGGGTTGAGATGAGCGTTGCCAGATGTGGGGTGGGTTGAGATTGAGATTGCCTTCGGAAGTTTGGACGACAACCGAAGTTTGGACAAGAAAGCTGGTTTCTCAATCTGTACACCTATGTACCCAGAAAACAACAGACCCCAGGTTTTTTTCCCCAGTTTACTATTTTCTGAAGTCCAAGTCTCCACCTAAACGTTCACTGCAACAGTGTGTTTCAGCTAGAAATCGGCGGAGTAGTCGAGTCCCTATAAAACTTCGGATTAGGGAATGTACAATTATTTGATCTTTAATAATACGAGTATACCTGCGAATTAGACTGTCATCCTGGGGAAAACGAAAAGTTCCTCTCTTGTCCAGACTTCGATTGTCGTCCGAACTTCTGAAGGCATTCTGAGACAGGGGAGTGGTTTGAGGAGGGAAGGGGTTTCAGGGAGGGGTGATTGGTGGGTGGGCAAAAAAATTGGGAAGAATGAGACTGGTTGGAATGGGTTTGGGGAGAATGAGGGGAGCCAATCAAACGCGGAATCGAAATGGAATCTGGCTGGCGAAAAGGCATCAGCTGATTGGTGGCGCGAGCTTCGCAGCATTAGGCGATTCTAGCCTTCGTCAGGAGCAGCCATATTACCCTCTCGTTTCCTCGCGTGACTATTGACGAGATGTCGTCGTCTGTTCGTTTCGCTCCAGCTTTTCGCTCGAGGGGCAATTCCGTGCATGTGGTCATCTTCCGCTCCCCTTGTCCCTTCCAGTATTTTTGGCTGGAATGCAAAATTCATGGCTGCTCCTCCAATGTCCCTCATTCTTAGGTCATACTGATTCGAGGTAGGCTCTAGACTGGACACATCGTTCACATTCTAAGATTTATACGTCTAACTTCCGACTTTCCTCTGAGCCCGTCTGGCGACGAGTCCTCTATAATCTCCCTGTTCCACTACTTGCGAATCCCAATCTCGCCGTAATCTACCCGCAAGCAAGCGTTTCCCGCTCACCTCTGCCATTTCCTCATTTGCTCATAAATGCCGTTTTGACCGCGTCGATCGATGGCGGTTCTTGATGTTTCTGGGCTGACTAGCTATGGGTATGGGCCACCAGTCTACCAGAGGCTTCGACTCAGAGCAGCCTCAGCTGGTCGGAGCAGCCTCAGCAATTTACGAGTAGTTTTCTCCACATGACATAACATGAAATGGAATGGAAATGATTCTAGGGGCTTTGATTCCATTTGGCGATGGAGATTGGGCAAGCAGGTATGCACAGCGCCGCGCCCATCCGAAGGTTATTTTTGAAGTGCTAACGATCCCGTTTTCTCTTGCCTCGCCCCTTCCCTAGACCTGGTTTTTTTCCCTGTGATGTTTTACTTCGTCTCTTTCTCCCGCCTTTCCTCGATGCTCGTTCCAGTAGCAGGAAAAAAATAAAGTGAGAGCTTCTGATTTATCATTCTGATAGGATGGAAGATCTTCTCACGCGCTAAGAGCGGTTCTGTCTGTGCCCGCTGCCTGTTAGCCACTCTGCTTTGTCTGTGCCTGTGCTCTGTCTATCCCAATGTGTTCAGTTTCCCTGCAGGAAGGCAGTGCAAAGAGCACGCAAGGAGCGAGATGACGGTTGAGTCGAGTGAAAAGCCATCCTGTGCTCTGTCTATCCCCATGTGCTCCGTTTTCCTGAAAGGAGGCAGTGCAAAGGGCACGCAAGGAGCGCTACAGGCGCAAGCGGATGCACGCGTGCAGGGGGCACAGGCACAGCAGCAGAGGCACAGCAGCAGAGGCTCAGCAGCAGAGGCACAGCAGCAGAGGCACAGCAGCAGAGGCACAGCAGCAGAGGCACAGCAGCAGAGGCACAGCAGCAGAGGCACAGCAGCAAAGGCACAGCAGCAGAGGCGCAGCAGCAGCGACACACCGGGCGTGTGAAACCTTCGCAACCCTGCTTTCCCCTTCCCCCCTGTTTTTACCACACACCCCTGCTTTCCCCTTCCCCGCTGTTTTAACCATACACCCCTGCTTTCCCCTTCGCCCCTGTTCTCATCATCCATCCCTGCTTTTCCCGTCTGGCCCCCTGTTTTCCCCATTCGCCTCTCCTTCCCTTCCCCCACCTCCCTGTTCTGGCGTTCATTCTCAGATTCCCCACAGCACATATGGTTTCGCCCTTCCCTTGCCACAGGGGCTACTCGTCTGTTTCTCGCCCCTCTGTCAATCTCCCCTCGGTTTCTCTCCCCTCTGCCTCTCCCCTCTGTTTCCCCCCCCTCTGTTTCTCTCCCCTCGGCTCCTCGCACTAATTTGTCACTCTGCAGTCAAGAGCCTTGAGGCGACTCAGGAGCAGCCATAGGCCTGAGGTGGAGTCTTGTTTGCAACGTTTGCTGCTGTCCACGCAGCATAAATTCCTTCACGTTCCTCCTCTCAGCACTTGCTTGTCCTGTTAAACTGTGCAGTCACATGCGGCTCAGGAACTACACTACAGCAATGGACAGAGTGGCAGATAGGGAATCTGAGATGATATGGAAGTGTTATGCTCGCTTGAGCTAGTTCCACGCTCCACCAGCAGGCATCGTAGTGCTGGTGGACCTAGTTGACAAATGTCAGTGCCAAATGTTTGAAATTCCTTCACTGCTAGCCATATATTCTGTATTGTGTCCCATTGCCATCTACCGTATTAGCCCGGATATAAGACCCATGGGTCTTATCACATACCGTTTAGAAATATTCCAAATGGTCCTAGATCCAGGGGCAAAAAACCGGGTTACCACAAGATAAGCGCCTAATAGAAGACCCAGGGTCTTCTATTACTAGGGGGTCTTATATCTATAGTGCGCTGACGAGTCTCGATCTCGGTGAGGGTGTCGACAAAGGCGGTGAGGGTGAGGTCACCCGGGTGCTGGCTAAGGTAGTGACCCGGTCCAAAGGAGGGTCGGCGAAACCTGCGGCCGCTGGGAGCGTGGCCACAAGTTAAGCTGATGAGCAGCGTAGCGAACAGCGAACGGCCACAGAAAATGGGGGGCATCGGCATGAATCATGGAGGTACGGGCGACCTCCATGACCAAACCGATGCGGCGCTCAGCAACCCCATTATGCTGTGGGGAGTCCGGCAAGGTGTACGACTGGGTGATGCCCTCCGCACGACAGAACTGTCCAAGCCGACCAGAGGCGAACTCGCCGCCACGGTCAGAGTGGAGACACAACACGGGGAGACCGCGGTGGAGACGCGCATCCACAACCCATGGGAGAAGAACGTCGGGCACGTCGGCCTTCCGCTCCAGGGGAAACACCGTGGTGTAGCGCGTGTAGTCGTCGACGAGCACAAGGAAATAGCGCTCACCGTGCGGTCCGGGGACGGGGGCAGGGCCCCAAACGTCCAGGTGCAGGGTCTGAAGGGGGGCAGTAGCAGGGCGCAGCGAGGAGGAGTGAGGGGCACGGCGGAGCCGGCCCTCGACGCAAGGCGTGCATGGTGGCGCAGTCGAGGGAGGAAGGGCAGGGAGCGACGCTGGGAGACCTAAGACAAGACCGTGCTGGGACATATGACGCAGACGAGGGAGAGCAGGGTGACCTAAGCGGTGGTGCGAGAGAAGGGACGGGTGAGTGAGGGACCGACACGAGCCAGCTGCAGCGACCTGGGAGGACGCACCAACTGGGGGGGAAGCGGTGTCTAGGGTAAACAGACCAGACACCGGGTCCCGGGGGAACGTCGCAAGGGGGGAACCTGAGACAGCCTCAGAACAGACAGCGAAACGCTCGTGCCCGGGGAACGTGGTGGTGACGCCGAGGTCCTGGAGACAGTCGACACCAACCAGGTTCCTCAAGAACGAGGGAATGTGGAGGCCTGTAAGGGAGCCCGAGGGAACTGCTGGACAGGGAAGGGACGTAGAACTGCGAGCGACGACAGGACCCGCAGAGGGGTCAGCGAGAGAGACAACAGCAGGCGCAGCAAGCGGCGTGAGCGTGGAACGGTCGCGGAAGAAGCAGGCAGAAGCACCGGAGTCGAGAGTGAAGGACAGCAAAGCAGTGGCGGAGGCCGGGGACGGAGCCGGTGCAGCGACTAGACTAGGCAAGCTAGGCAGTCCTACGCCTGACGCAGCAGGGGAGGCTAAGCTACACAATGGTGCAACACCTAAACTAGAGTACACAGGGTAATAAGATCCAGCAACGCTAGAAGCGTCAGAACAAAGCATGCAAAGCAGCACCTATCTGATCCATGTCTAACTCAAAGATCGGCACGCCCTGCGGAGCAGGCTGTGCCAGTCGGGGAGGTCCGGGGCCGGGCCAAAGCGACGACGAAAGAGATCGTCGAGGCGGCGGAAACAGCGGGCGGTCGGGTGCGGGCGGCGGCACAGAGTGCCGCGAAGAGGCCCGGTCTGAAGCTGGTACTGGCAGGTGACAACACCGGAGCCGCCGGTAGACGCCAAGCTGCGCGGGCCGCCACCACGGCCACTACCTCCGGAGGTGCCGGGCCAGCCAGGCGGGAGACGGGCCCACGGCTGCGGCGACTGCTGCTGGGACGGCGGCTGCTGCTGGGGCGGTGGCTGCGGCTGGGGCTGCTCCTGTTGCGGCTGGGGCTGCTGCTCCTGCCCACCAGTGGTAGTCCCCGCAGGCGGACTACCGTCACCACCACCACCACCACCACCACCACCACCTGCACCACCACCCCTACCTCCCTAGCGACCACGGCCACCGCGGCGCGAGCGCTGCTGCGGGTGGACCGCAGCAGCCGTCTCGGTGAGAGGGGTCGCCGTGGCGACCGCAGCCGAAACGTCAGTGAACGTGCACTTGGAGGGTGCACAACCGTGAAAGATAGAGACTGCCGGCGCACCGCTCGACTGAGCGATAGTGCGCTGACGATTCTCGATCTCGGTGAGGGTGTCGACAAAGGCGGTGAGGGTGAGGTCACCCGGGTGCTGGCTAAGGTAGTGATCGCGAGCACTAGCGAGGCGGTCTGGCAGGCGCTGGCGATAAAATAGAGCGTCATGCAGAAAGGGGGGGGGGAGCGCAGTGAGCTAGGCAGCAGTGCTGGCAGTGCGATAGCGGGTCTCTAGGGCAAGCAGGTGAGTGGCAAAGTCTGCGACGGTAGGGAAGGCTGCAAGGTCTGGGAACAGCATCGGGAAGAGCAAGCGGCCAGCAGAAGCAGACGCGGGTGTGGAATAGCGAGCAATAACGTCATCTAAGTAAGTTTTGGCCGTCTCAACAGTAGCAAAACGCGAGCGCTCAGACACAGGGAGGGCGTGACTAATAGCAACTTGAGCGACTGCATCGCGGGAGTCCCAGACCGCACAGGCAAGCGCAGCAGTAGAGAAGGCCTCACGGTCATCAGAGGAGGGATCAACAGGGAGGGGAGCAGGGGCAGGGGGGCGGGGGAGCAAGCCATCGACATGGACAACCAAAGAGTGACCATCCTGGCGCTGACCTTTAAGGTGGCGGCGGAGATCGGAGAGCCAGGCGGCGAAGTCAACCGCATGGCCCTCGGCGTCCAGTCGGAGCACGATGTCAGCCATCGTGCAGGGTCAGCGGCACAGCTCCACAGGAACACAGCGACGCAGGGACACGGCGGCAGCACTCTCCAGCACGGCGGCCGCGATGCGCCCCAGCACTGGCGAGTAGAGTAGACGGAGCCCGAGGTGGCACGGCAGGACGAGCAGGCACGAAGATGGGCCGGGCTGGCAGTGGGAGAGGCCAGGCAGGCGCGGAGGGGCCAGGCAGTCGCGGCGGGGCCAGGCAGGCGCGGCGGGGCCAGGGAGGCGCGGCGGGGCCAGGCAGGCGCGGCAGGGCCATGCAGGCGCGGAGGGGCCAGGCAGGTGCGGCGGGGCCAGGTAGGAGCGATGGGGCCAGGCAGGCGCGGCGGGGCCAGGCAAGCGCGGCGGGGCCTGGGAGGCGCGGCGGGGCCAGGCAGGCGTGGCAGGGCCAGGCAGGCGTGGCGGGGCCAGGCAGGCGCGGCGGGGCCAGGCAGTCGCGGCGGGGCCAGGCAGGCGCGGCAGGGCCAGGCAGGCACGGAGGGGCCAGGCAGGCGCGACGGAGCCAGGCAGGGCGCGACGGAGCCCAGCGGGCGCGACGGGGCTAGGGAGGGCGCGACGGGGCCTAGCGGGCGCGACGGGGCCAGGCAGGGCGCAACGGGGCCCAGGAGGGGCGCGACAGGGCTAGGAGGCGCGACGGGGCCCAGGAGGGGCGCGACGGGGCTAGGAGGCGCGACGGGGCTAGGAGGCGCGACGGGGCTAGGAGGCACAACGGGGCCCAGGAGGGGCGCGACGGGGCTAGGAGGCGCGACGGGGCCCAGGAGGGGCGCGACGGGGCTAGGAGGTGCGACAGGGCCCAGGAGGGGCGCGACGGGGCTAGGAGGCGCAACGGGGCCCAGGAGGAGCGCGACGGGGCCCAGGAGGGGTGCGACGGGGCCCAGGAGGTGCGCGACGGGGCGAGGAGGCGCGACGGGGCCCAGGAGGGGCGCGACGGGACCAGGAGGCGCGACGGGGCCCAGGAGGGGCGCGACGAGGCCAGGAGGCGCGACGGGGCCCAGGAGGGGCGCGACGGGGCTAGGAGGCGCGACGGGGCCCCAGGGAGGGGGGGGGGCGCGGCGGGGCCTAGCTAGGGTACGGGCGGAAGCGGTAGGTGGGGGATTCTAATCTACGCGTGATACCATGTTAAAGCAAGAACTGAATGAATGACTAGAAGTAGAAACCTAGAACAAATACTAGTTGGTTGTACTCACTTGAAGCATACCTCAGTCTAGCCTATAACTTCTACATAGCTAATATGTATAAGTTGACATATATATTCTTCGCTTTTCCTGATGCTCTATCCATATGCTACAGGAATCATACAGTTCGCGACCACAGAACCTTGGTTTACAAAGCCAAAGCCAGAGAAACCCAAAGCCAAACCAAATCCTCATGAATAAGAATACTTCACATCTCAATAGGAACAAAAAGGTCCTACATGTATCAATACATTATTACTTTTACCCCAGAGAGCTCCCGCAAGCCACTGCGCTCCACACTGCTGTAAAGCACCTGCGTGCACCTCCGAGTGTCCAAGACGATCAGCGTTTTCACCTCATGCAAATCCCCTGGCAGAGCTGTCAGCTGCACGCAGCCTTGCAAGTCAAGAACCCTCAGATTGCTCAAATGTGCGAAATTGGAAGGAAGGGAGCGAAGTGCGGTGTTTTCCAGAACGAGCTCCTTGAGGCAGGCAAGCCGGGTGAGAGATGCTGGCAGGAGCTCAAGAGCTGAGCAACCATTCAGGTTCAGCTTGTGCAGCCTGGTCAGGGCATCGATGCCATCTGGGAGACAGCTCAGCTTGGGAGCATGAACCACCAGGGAAGTCAGGTGCTGGAGCTCAGAAACACTCTCAGGCAGCTCCTTCAATTCCGCTGCATCGTAAATCTCCAGCTGCCTCAGCTGCTGCAGGCCTGAACCGATTCCTGCTGGAAGGCCCTCCAGCTCTCTAGCTCTGCGAATCCGCAAGAAGCGCAGCTGGGGAAGCAGCTCCACGGGAAAGGGAAGCTCCCCGGTACGTTCTGCCAATTCCAGCTCCATCTGCTTCAGCTGTGGCAAAGTGCTCCTGAGACCCAGACCCCTGTCAGCACCCACGGACCTCAGCTTCAGCCTCTTGAGCTTCAGCAGCGCTGAGATGTCTGGCAGAGGCAGGTCTTGCTCGTGATTCTCCCATGTGAGGAACTCAAGAGACGCTGGGAGGGATTCAGGAGGTTGAGTCAGCGGCACGCACCAAATGACTTCCAGCTGCTTCAGCCTGGTAAGGCTATCCAGCCTC